GGTTCAATTACCCCCCAAATTTGATGTTCCCATCGTAAAACACACTGTTAAGAATCCCCCCGAACCCTTTTTCACAGTAATTTTCCCCGGAAAACCCCATAATTTACCCAAAAACTGAGGACCCCCCCAACGGCTCAACCGTCTCTCGGATACCCCCACCACTCCCAATCTTCATTTTGTAATTTGTAATTAAAAGTTTTTCACGTATGGAGATATTTTTATTCAAATTTTGGTCTTTTTTTTTAATTAATTGTTTAATTATTTACATGCAGGGATTACGAGGGAGTTGGATAAAGCTGGAATATCTTATTGCGGTGTGGGACCGGATCCAGTCGGCGAAAATTTCACCTACGAAGGGGCCTTCACTCCCGATCCAGATATTGGAGCTGTCATCGTCGGGTTTGATCTGCATTTCAACTACATGAAAATGATGAAGGCTGCGACTTACCTTAATAACAAAGATACCCTGTTTATTGCAAGCAATACTGATGAACGATTTCCAGGATCGGAAACACTTATCATTCCAGGTACAAAATTTAGATATAATTTTAAAAGAATTCGTGTACTCGCTCGTTTATTATATAGATTATTATTATTTTTACTAATAAACTGATGATACGCGAATGATCTTAAAAGTTCGATAAAATCTTATTGAAATGTTCTCTTCAGACATGATCGAATGAATCTGGAAAGTAATAGATAAAAACGAGAATAGATGAAAAAATCAAAAAGCTGAATAAAAAATCAATTAAAAAATCGAAATTAAAAAAATTATCTGCAAGATTACATCACATATGCAGCTGTGGGAATAATCTGATAATTTCAATCATTTTGAGTGCTAATGAAATTCGATTGGAGAATACCCCGCGACAGGTTCGCAATTCAAATATCTATAAATTACGAATTTTTGTCAATTTATCTTACATATCAATGTTATTGCTATTATTTCCATCTTCAAACTTGCTCAACATTTTTTAAGCCATCATCAAAACATTCCACACCTTTTTTTCTCCAGTTATATTGAAAAGACTGATTTAAAAAAATGAAAATAATAAATAAATAATGTAAATTTGGAATATTATCGACGCTCAACAATACTTGCCTATGAGAAAACGAAATGATTGAATTTTACGCGCCACATTCGCGTTCATTAATCGTTTTCAAAATCTCGTATTAATGAAAAAATATTTTTTTAGGAACTGGGAGCCTAGTGAAGAGTATTGAGACGTGTTCTGAGCGTGAAGCAACAGTCATGGGAAAACCAGCTCCCTACGCCGCGATTATGTTGCAGAAAAACTTCAAAATTGATCCGAAGCGTACCCTAATGATTGGTGATCGTGCAAATACGGATATTCTATTCGGTAAAAGATGTGGATTCAAGACTCTACTCGTTCTAACTGGTGTATCAACAATCCAAGATATTGACAACTGGAGTAAGTCGAATGATCCAAAAAACAAAGAGTTAATACCAGATTATTACACACAAACAATCGGCGATATTCTGCCGCACATAAAAAATTTGAGTAATTGATGATTATTGATTCTAGAAAATCACAATTTTACTATTATTTCTAAATTTCTACTAATATCTTTATTTTTATATTATTCCTCAAAACAAAATAGTTTTCAAAAATATACTATTTATTCAATCCAATGATAACTGTGACCATCTAAATATTTATTTTTCAATATTGTTAGAACTATTTATTGTTGATCTAATTCCATAACAAAGCCATAAAAGGAGATAAATAGAAATTAAATAAAATTTAATTGCTATATGCGATAATAAAATGATGAAAATGAATTCAACAGTTCCATAATGATTATTATAACGAATATTTTTTCAATTATTGTCAATGAATGAGTTACTGGCAATTAGCGACGCACTTCAACTGTAAAAATGCATTAAAAAATTACCTGTTCATTTTTGGGGCATAAATCAGGATATGATGGGTTATTTGAAAACTTTTTTTGTTATTCAAAAAATTTGCATTGTTTCTAATGAGTGAATAAATGAATATCGAGTAAAATAGAAAAAAGAAGAATGGTCCAATAACTGGCAGTTTACAGAAATTTGAAGATTATGTTACGGTACCGGTTACTGGGACTAGAGGACCCAATTGCTCCCGCTCTAGATTTTCATTCAGAGAATTATTCCAGTAGCTGAAAAGTCCTCAAATTTCGTTAATTCTCGTTTCATCTTCAGTCACAAACAATTACATCACTGTTTATAATTATATGTGCGAATAAAGTCTCATTGAAAGTTTTTCTAGATCATGCCCATTTCTTAAATACGATCTGCTAGTTATTGGGCCATCGGCACCTTTAAGGGCCCAACAGCTGGCACCCAAATTTATTCATAAAAATTGATTAAAAATATTTCTAGTCATTCAATATTCCTGATATTTGTTTTGATATCCACGTAAAAAAATAACGTTAAGTAAATATTCATCTAAAAATAACTAATAACATAAGTTATGCATTTGGCAGAAAAATAGACACGGATGCCAGCAACTGGGTCATTGACAGTATTTTGCAAATTCTTCAGAACAAAATCTCCCCTTACAACTTTACTACTGACTCCATTACAAATTCCTCAATTGTCATGATAAATTCTATCTCGTTAACACCCACGAGATTCAAAATCTGTTATAAAATATTTGAAAATAGTAATTGACGACATAATGAAGAGAATGTCTAACACACAACGCACATAATAAATGATAATAATTATATAATTATTAATTCATTCATTATACATTCCATCAATGAGAAAGTCCATTCTTCTGTAGTGCCTTTTCTCCCAACACTCTCTTCCATTTCTGTACAAAAATATCACAAATAGAATAAACAGTGGTAACACTAGTATTGTTATTACAACAGGCACTACGTAATTTATCTTCGATGACATTCCAAGTGGTGGAGTTTTTGTGGGAACTCCCAGACTTGGTTTAACAACTTCTCCATCACTAGCTCCAGCTATCGTAACCGTTGGCTTCGACTTGAATTTTTTGTTTACTTTTATTTTCTCTGTTGTCATTTTTGTGTTATTCGTATCTAACGAATTCAACAAGTCGATGTTGTAGGGAGTTTTCTCTGTCGTTGAGCTTGCAGTCTTGTTATGAGAATCTTCAGAATCTTCCACCCCTTTTCTCGCTGAAATAGAACTGACTCCTTTTCGAGGGCGAACAGATGGTGCGGCGTCTCGTTCCACTGGTAATTTTCCATTTACACTCGTTATCAATTCGTCTTGCCAGATTTTAACACCATCAGCTACTGTCTTTAATGATTCGCTCCTCTCCGTTGGGTTGAAACTCTTCTGGAATACAAAATCATATTAGAAAATTAAGAAACTGAGTTAGAATACGAAAGTAGATTTTTTAAATTATTTTTCATTGATAAAATTGCTCTGCATTGCAACCAAATTTTAATCAATTCTACAAATTTCATTTCCAGACTCGAATAAATGAAAAATTTCTATAATAGATAGCCTTGGGAGAATAAATAAATCACAGAGTAAATCCTAACGGTTGAAATGTATAAGAAAGTGAGTAAATAAACAAATTATAAGAAGAAATCTCTGATTTTTTCATTTTCACAGTCGAATTGTAATTGCGTAATATGAATTGACGGGAGAATCAGGAAAACTGAAGGTTCATCTCGGATTTTCCTCATCCGATTATCATGGAGTGATTTATAATTAAATAATATCTAATTAGACACGTACTCATTTATTTTTATTTTTCCCTTTCTCTGCACTTTAATGTTTAGATCCCGAAAATTCCATCTTTCACTGAGGGTTTATCAGAATTTTTTTGTATTGAAGGGAAATATCTAAAAACAAATTTATATTTTCAATTCACAACTTCCGGGATAACTCATTGAATCTCCAGCAGTCGTGTGATATTGCTCCAGAGATATTTATCGATATCATCCAACAATCGAATATAGAGGAGTGCAGGGTAATACGGACACGTTTTTATTTAAGGCCCGGATGGACTGCCTGGAAAGGATAATTTACTCCAAAATTGGGACTTCTAATTACTTCGTCAATTAATCGTTTTTTCCGATAATTATTAGCTAGCGGCCTAGTTGTTGACAACCGCTAGAACGCTAGTTAACAATTATTGAAAAAAACAATTAATTGCCAAAGTAATTAGGAATCCGAATTTCGGAGTAGATTTTCTTTTCTAGATAATCCACCCGAGCCTTAAGGGCCGGATGGAGTATCTCGGAAAGATAATTTACTCCAAAATTGGGACTCCTAATTACTCCGCCAATTAATTGTTTTTTCCGATAATTGTTAGCTAGCGTTCTAGTCGTTGACAACCGCTAGAACGCTAGCTAACAATTATTGAAAAAAAACGATTAATTGCCAGAGTTATGAGGAATCCCGATTTTAAAGTAAATTATCTTTTCCAGATAATCCAACCGGTCCTTAAGTTATTGTATGAATAATTAATACTGTCGAATAATTAATAATTATTAATAATTAATAATTAATACGTCTTTCTCAAATCAGTGACTATCTAAAATGATAAACGTCTTGTTGATAATCATTGAATTATTATAATTTTCAATGTAAATTGATGAAAAAAAAATTTCCCTCATTGTTTAACAACATTATAAAGTTATGATTAAAAAAATGGTTGAAGCACAGCCAATTATACTTTTAATCCAATTGCCGAATCCTCAATTTATCAATTTATGTCTGCTGAAACATATAAAAACGTTAAAAACGAAAAAACCAACAATCGTTAATACCTGTTTTACCCCAGCATCTCCTAATAATTTCACTGTCTTTCCCAGTTCTCCAGTCCCAGATTCATCAGTCCCAGGACTTTCATCTCCAATTCCATCACTTGTTGCACAGCTCACAAGCAGATAAATCTCCAAAATCAACAGAGTCTTCATCCCGACCATACTGCACTGTTTTCCATCAATAAAATCCCTTCCAAAATAATAAGAGCCTCATAAAAAATGTAAACAAAAAGTAAAAAAAAACAGCGAGTGAAAGTGCAAAAGAACAACAGGCGAAAATCCACGTTATCAGTGCCAAACTAGACTAAATATCGTTGATTATTCCGAAACGATAAAGAGTGACATCCAGAAGTCATGTCCATGCTCACATGACCTTGAGCAAGTCAGAAATATTGAAGACAATAATTCAACTGATGCCACCGAATATTTATGGAATAATAATTCACTCTGCACTCATTCGATTGAAAGGGAAAATTCCAACCTTTATTATCTCCCTCTTTTCCTCCATTTTTGTGAATCCGCCATTTCTTTCCGGAGTGATTCGTGCGTTCTCGGGGTGCACCGAGGAGAGACGAGGGCTCACGACAATCGCCGAAGGGTTCAAACTGGAAGAGCACATGTGTTTGATGCATTGATGAGAGGTTAGTCAAACAAAAATTGATCCCAGCATGTCCTCTTTGTTCTGCCTCAAATAATGTGAGTACTTCAGAATAATTACATTAAAGATAGTAATTCGTTATAAAATCTTATTTGAAAACTTTCTCGTTCAATTCCATGGATGAATCGATTGTTTTTGTTTTTAGATGGTGATTTACAATTCGGTTTTTCAAGAAGGAAGAAACGAGATGATCGACGACAGTGACGACAGTGAAACGTCAGACGTCAGTGTGTCCAGTGATTCTGATAATTCTGATGATTCTGATTCAGATAATGATGAGGATCCCACAGCTTTTGGGAGGGAAGAGAATGAGGAAGAGGATGAGTTGGTCCAGGCTATCGAAAACTCGAGAAACCACCATCGGGGACATCCGCCTGCCATTCCTACTGAGGAGTTTGTTGTGAATGTCTGTTTTCATCCGGAGGACAATATCATTGCTCTGGCTAATGTCGAGGGCGATATTCTCATGTATAAGTACGATAATGAGGACAATACGTTGATCGCGACAATTGAAGTGCACGAGAGGGCCTGTCGTGATGTTCAGTTTAATGCTAAAGGGGACACCATTTTTTCTGTCAGCAAGGACAAGTCTATGGCTGTCACTGATGTCACCAGTGGAAAACTCAAACGTTTTTATGATAAGGCTCATGAGTAAGTGGTTTTGGCTTTCGCGGGAGATTATTGTCGGAATTGTAGAGTCATTGTGAAAGGTAAAGTCCGAAAATATTTAACAATCCAAAATGTGGGTGACAATATTTTCAAATTTCATCTCCAATTGCGCGCTAATATATCCATCAAATTCATTTTTTTTGTCATTTATTTTTTATTTGTTTAATTTATTTTAATTTTTTAATTTTTTTTTTGTAAGTTTGGTGAGTCCTCGTCGTGGATGTTAATTCAAATTTAATTCATTCATTGATTTTTTTGATTTTCGATTTTTTTCGAAAATCTCTTTTTTCATGATAACTGAAGAAAATAAAATAAATAAATAAATAAATATTTCCATGATGACTTAAAAAATGAGTTTTGATATGTTCTTGAATGGGTTTGAAGATGGAAATAATAGTAATAACCGTTGTATCGATATTTAAGAAAGATTGGAAAAAATAATGAGGAAATATCTGAATTGTGGGCCTGTCGCGGGATATTCAATTTCAATTGAATTTCACTGACCCAAAATGATTGTTTCGATGTTATACCCTTGAAATGAAAAGATGGCCTCCATGATGATATATGTTGATATTATTTTCCAGACGATTTTGCCAATTTCGAATTTTTTATTAATTTTTTAAAAAGTCAGCTCCCTGATTTTTTCATCTATTCTCGTTTTCTTTATCCATTATCTCCTAAATTCATTCGCCTATATTTGAAGAAAATGTCTCAATAAGTTTCCGACGGAATTATATAATGAGATTATTAAAAACAGCCATTTATTGCTGATTTATTATTAATAGAAAAAATAACGATCGGTGCTATATTGTTGAAATTAACAGATAATTATTCTTATTACAGATGTCCTATTTATACTACTACAATCATCAACGAGAATGTTGTTGCTACTGGAGACGATGATGGAACAATCAAAAGTACGATTTTATCAGTGATTATTTAGTTTTAAATTTTTGTTTCAAAGAGGAATTTACCACAAGTAAATAATCAATGAAGACGAATTTGTGTCTTCAAATTTTGATTTCGCAGAGTAATTTTCCTCAGAATTTGATTGATCCCTTTCCATAAATTGATTGATTATGAAATAAATATTGTAATATCGTTATAATAACATTAATTAATTTGATTCAGTCTGGGATTTGAGGCAACGTGGATCGAATCCAATCCTTTCAGTGAAAGAGAACGGCGACTACATAAGTTCGATGATAACAAACGACGATGGAAAATATTTAGTCTGCGCCAGTGGAGATGGTGTCCTAACGACCCTAAACGTTCCAGCGAGAAAACTTCACGTCCAGTCCGAGGAATACGACGATGAATTCACATCCCTGGGGCTGTTCAAGGGGAATACGAAACTCCTGACTGCTAGCAACACTGGAAAGATGTACGTCTTCAATTGGGGAGAGTTTGGCTTCCATTCCGATGAGTTTCCTAATTTAACGAAGAAAGCTATCAACTGTATTATTCCAATTACTGATAATGTAGTAATTACTGGTGGGGAGGACGGATTGCTGAGGTAATTATCGATTATTATTAAATATGGAGATAAATTATCTAAGAATATGACATGCTGTATCTGTTGATAGGTGAAAGAATTCACGGGAAGATAATTCATTACCATTTAATATCTAGGGGGTGATCACTCGTTTATTCCATATATTTTAGTCATTTTTTGTTATTAAATTATCAATACGCGAATGGTCGTTTGCAATAATTTTAAAACTTCGATAAAATCTTATTGAAATATTTTTTTCATACATAATCGATAGAATCTAGAAGATAATAGATAAAGAAAACGAGAATAGATGAATAAATTAGAGAGATGATTTTGAAAAATCAAAGAAAAATTTGAAATTATCAAAATTGCCGGGAAAATAATAACAATGTATGTCACTATGGTAACCATTTCCTAATTTCAAGAGTATAGCATCGAAACAATTAGTTTAAGGCTCGGGTGGATTATCTAGAAAAGATAATTTACTCCGAAATTCGGATTCCTAATTACTTTGGTAATTAATCGTTTTTTTCAATAATTGTTAGCTAGCGTTCTAGCGGTCGACAACAACTAGGCCGCTAGCTAACAATTATCGAAAAAAACGATTAATTGACGGAGTAATTAGAAGTCCCAATTTTGGAGTAAATTATCTTCCCAGACAGTCCATCGGGGCCTTAAGCTCTCATGAAATTCAATTGAAGAATATCTCGCGACAGGTCCACAATTCAAATATTTCGAAAGTACGATTTTTTTCCGATCTTTCTTATAAATCGATACAACGGTTATTGTTATTATTTCCATCTTCAACACATCGAAACTCATTTTTAAGTCATCATCGAAGTATTTCATACCATTTTTTCTTCAGTTATAGTAAAAAAAACTTATTTTTGAAAAAAATCAGAAATAAAAAAAATCAGTAAATTAATCGAATTTGAATTAATATTGACGACTAGGACTCACCAATACTTGATGAGACAAAAAAAAATTTTAATGAATTAATTTGGAAAACTTGCCACGCGCATAGTTGCATTATTAAATAGGATCTTCCGACTTTTCTGATGAAAAAATACAAAATCTGAATTTCAATTATAATGCCTTCATTCGGAAGGAAAAAATATAATTTTTCCTGTTAGTCAATTAATGGTTTATGTATTTCTACAGAGCCTTCAGTTTATTTCCCCACCGAAGACTCGGAATAGTCGGGCAGCACGATTTCTCCATCGAAACCGTGGATATCTCCAATGATGGAACATTAATAGCTTCATCGTCTCACGACAACATCGTGAAGTTCTGGAACGTCAAATACTTCGAGACCCTGAACGTAGAGGAACCGATTAAAGGAGGAAAACAAAAGCAGATGAAGCACAATTTACCTAGTAGTAAAGTCAACAATGCTGGAGACTTCTTCGCAGACTTAGAATAATTAATTAAGCTCTACGATAATTTAACTCATGTGTAAGAAACAGCTGCGAGATAACGCGAACTGGTTTGTTACATTATATTTAATCAAGTAAATTTTGTTATGTACAGAAATCTCAGAATATTCTATCCAGTCCTTCCACTTCTGGCTTCTTGTCGATTGCTCGGTTTATGTTGATCGAGTTTATCCTCACGATTGTGTGCTGCATCCTCCGAACTTGAAACAATTAAATTCTTGAGTTAATTAAGCTTCTCTTCATTATGTCTCAATTATTCTTTTTAAACATTCTATAACAGATTTTAAATCTCGTGGTAATGAGATAGAATTTATCATGACAATTGAGGCATTTGCAATTGAATTAATGATAATTGACGACAATTTTTGTTTTTAATCTTGAAATTTGTGAGAGATTCTTCACGTGAATGTAATTCACGATAATTCAGCAGTTCTGTAATAATTAATTGTTTAATATTTGAAAATTAACTTGAGATTTAATTTTCATTAGCAAATATGAAGTGTTTTGTTCTTACAATGAATTCGGCGATACTGTTTTCTTTTTCTCATCTTAAAAAATGTTTTTGTATGCGAGAAGGTTTTCTCGATAACAGTTGCATCGACACTCGCCAGTTCTCGATTTAAAATTGGTCTTCCAACAAGAGTGAAGTCAGTGCCACCAACGAGAAGAACTTTTTCCAATTTCAATTTGTCCCCTGGCTGGGGCGGCCAATATCCTTGGATTATTATCAAATCACTTTCAGTGATTTTAAATTGCTTCCCAGTAACTTGTACAACAGCGAATAATCGACTTGTGTCCTTTGATTCCAATTGGTTGTTGATGGTTTGCGTTACGTCTGCAAACAATTCCAAAATATCAATGTTGTAATTCAAAACTGAAAATATCAGAACTAGGGAATTGTTAGTTAACGAGTTTAAAATTTATTACATGGGAAAATCTTGAATTTTAATCGACAACTTTAGTCTTTTCTCTGTGAAATTTGTGAATAATTTTCAATAAAATTATATTTCTTCACGTTTCATGACGTTTTGCATTATTTTGCTAAATAATTTGTCGTCGATTCTTGCCAAAACGATTGAAGAAATTTCAACAGAATTTTGACTATCAATTGCGGTAAACCTCCGGTCTAAAATAAATTATTTCACTTCAAAATTTCCTGGATTTTTCGTATCTTCTTGAGATTTTTAAAATATTTTTGCAACTCCAGGATTCTAGAAGACTGTTCTGATTTCTTCGACCCCAGGATGATTGTGTCGATGTTATACCCTTGAAATTAAAAGATGGCTACCATGATGAAATATGTTGATATTATTTTCCAGATGATTTTGCCAATTTCGAATTTTTTATTAATTTTTTAAAAAATCAGCTCCCTGATTTTTTCATCTATTCTCGTTTTCTTTATCCATTATCTCCTAAATTCATTCGCCTATGTTTGAAGAAAATGTCTCAATAAGTTTCCGACGGAATTATATAATGAGATTATTAAAAACAGCCATTTATTGCTGATTTATTACTAATAGAAAAAATAACGATCTGTGCTATATTGTTGAAATTAACAGATAATTATTCTTATTACAGATGTCCTATTTATACTACTACAATCATCAACGAGAATGTCGTTGCTACTGGAGACGATGATGGAACAATCAAAAGTACGATTTTATCAGTGATTATTTAGTTTTAAATTTTTCTTTCAACGCGGAATTTACCACAAATAAATAATCAATGAAGACGAATTTGTGTCTCCAAATTTTGGTTTCGCAGAATAATTTTTCTCAAAATTTGATTAATCCCCTTCCATAAATTGAATTTGAATTTCATCTATTTCACTCCAAGATTTCCTTGATTTCCCTTATGTTCTTAAGATTTTTAAAATATTTTTGCAACTCCAGGATTCTAAAAGACCGTTCCGCTTTCTTCGACCCCAGAATTCATTGGTTTTCGATTTTTTTTCAGGAACCCGAGAAAAATGGAAATTGAAATTGAATTGATCAATTCCTCAAATAAAAATGTAAAATTCCCAAGTATAGTTTTGGGCATTCGACAGTCTTAAGGGGTCATTGTCAATATCTTTTAATTTTCTGTTTTTTGTAACTAACTGTCAATCAACTTTTCCTGTTCCGGTGTCACCTCCGGCTCCGCATGAGGTACGGTCTGAGGCCATGGCATCCACGGCAAATAAGTTTTATATCCAGCAGCTAATGGTGTCAACAATTGCCTTGTCCTATCTACAACCGAGAAAATAATTGAATGAAATTAACCAGTACATCCCAATTACAATCTACCCACAAATAAAAGAATGTCTCTTCATTCCCCACACTCTGATCATGACATAAAAACGAAAATTAAGATATGACCGAGAGTAGTTGAATTATTAAACCATCGAATCGAATAAATCCCAACCTGGAGTTGACAAATTGGTGACAGCTCCACTGAAAATCTTCTTTGATCCACAATTTATAGTTGCAAATAACCTCGACAACCTGGGAATACCCGCCATGATGTACCTCTTGCTCCTCCTAACTCAGAACTACAAATGAATTTTTCATCTCTTGAAAATCGATTGTTTCATAATATATCGATACTCGATTATCCAAATCGATTGTCACGGGTCGATTAATCCAATCGATATTTTTTCGTCAAGATCTTTTCCCGAGAGGTTATTTCAAATAAACAAATTATTTATAACCTGTGGCTCGTAAAAATTTTTTAAAATTATAATGTTCAGTATTTTATGGGTTTCTATGAAGCCATGAATATTCCAACGCCAAAGCTGAGATTTTTCTGAATTAGTTAGTTAGACTTTATTATTTATACTCTAATACAGCGATCAATGTTTTCTAGTTATTAACAATTAATTTTTAAATTTATTTCTCCGTATAAAACGTGTTAATTACCCTGCACGCAGCTTTCGATTCGACTCCTCGATTTGTTTTTCTGTTATTTATTAATTTTTTAAATCAGGTTTGAACCTGGGTTACAGAAAGAGGAGAAATAAAAATAAAAAATGATTGATTTTACATTAATTAATCCATTCTGAATAGGTCGATCCGATCCAATTCCACCAATCCATCATTTTTCGCTGAAAGTTTGTGTCTGCGTCAGAGATAATAGGAGAGATCAGGGTCCGGATTTGGGATCATTTTTTGGAGAGACCAGCACTAATTATTCAAAACCGACTATCTGACGCTCAAGACCTTATTTGCTGGACGGATTTTGAAGCTGTAGTACACTATCTGCGTGTATAATAGCATTTTATACATCGATATGATAATATATTTCAATGAATACATATTCCATTCTAACCTCAATAATTAAATGAGTCAAGTAGCTGCAGGTAAGAAAAACAAAGAAATAGTTCTTTAAAAAATCTCAATTTTCAAATGGTCGCGGCAATAATTGTTTGTTTTGATGATTTATTTTACACGATGAAATAGAAGCTAATTGTCGTCCTAAGAAGAGGTATTCGTCTCCCCCATTAATATTTACGAACTAAATAGACCCTGAAATGATTATTTATCAAAACCCCATTCTTACAGGCCATAAAAGATTCCCCAGAAACTTTCGAGATTGGAGATATCAATAAAATAATCGCTATTCAATTTTGTAATTGATCCACTGTCGCCATACCCTTTTGTGAATATAGTGGATGATGATGAGGCGGGTAAAGAAATAATAGACAGAAACATGAAAAAAGATGTCGAAAATGTTGCTTTTTATAAAAAGAAAAAAACAAATTTATTTGACATTTTTCCCATGAGCTGCCCATTCCAAATACCATCCCTGGGCGAGTTCCAATTTCTTGGATAATTGAATAAATTTATAATTATATGTTACAAGAAAAAAATGATGATAGAATGATAGAAATTAATTGGATTGCAGGTTGAAAACATGCCACGAAGATCTCAACGGTTACGATCGAGTTCTTTTGTAGTATTAGACTCTGACGAGGAAGCAGGCCCATCGAATGCACCTCGAAGAAGTCCAATTGCAAGTCAGAGATCCCAGAGACATAATGACGATGATACCGATGAGGAACCAGCAACTCAATCGCAGCGACGAGGAGCTGAATTACCTGAAGATGAAGAGAATCACGAGCTTGGAACCCTGTTGAAATTCCTGTTGTCTGCAGCATCAAGCAAAAATGTTATCAAGCAAGCAGATATCAAGACCTATGGAATGTCATGCCAGGCTAAATATTATCAGAGTCTCATGGCTAAAGCCAAAGTAGTTCTACATGAAATCTTTGGATACAACTTGATCAACATCGGTGGACAGAAGTGGATCATTGTGAATGCACTTCCTCACAATAATATTCGTGTGGAGGTTGAGGATGTTCCTGCACAGACTCTGCTGTTCCTTGTGCTGTCACATGTCTTCTTGTCCGGAGAACCATGCGCAGAAGGTTTCATTTTAATCTTGTTTTGTTGCCTGTATTTTATTTTTCCTATTTTTCTGAGATTTATTGAAACCTATCGATCGGATTGGAATATGAAAATATAGCGTTTTGTCCGTTAAATCATGATTTATCCTTTCACAAAGTTTTATCCCGATACACCAATTTTTATAACTTTTCTCTAAAATTTATTGATTTTTTATTAAATTTTAGTGAAAAGTTATAAAAATTAGTGTATCGGGATGAAACTTTATGAAAGAGTCAATCATGATGGAACGGCACTTTTTTTGCGCTATGGAACTGAAATAATTTTTTTCTTCCGTTTCAGATAATTTAATTCAGTTCCTGAAAGGCTTAAACATTTGGAGAGAACATGGTGGCCACCATCCTTACTTCGGGAATGTCGAGGAGATGGTGCAAAAGGTAACGAAAAACAATTCACTAATTGAAATGAATATCATTGTATTTTTCTTTATTATTCTTAGACATTCGTTCAGCAAATCTATTTGGTACGATCTAAAGAATCAAAGGGTGACAATGAAATGTATGTGTACACATGGGGTCGAAGAGCTACAGAGGAGTTCGATCCTCGATATGTATTGGAGTTCATCAGCAAGGTAATCTTTAAAAAAAATCAACAATCAGTGGACCTTCATCGATAAAATTCCATTTTTTGCAGGCTTTTACATCTCTGGAGAAATCAATGATTTTTAAGAAATTATTTTATTTTCATTAAAAACAAAATATCTTCTCGTGTTAATTAATTGTAATATTCAATAGGTATACAAAGATCGGCCAGCCAGCAGTTGGAACCTACAGTACCGAAAGGCTCAGGGAATCAAAAAGTCATAATGACAACAACAGGAAAAAATATTGCAGCAAAACGAAGGACAAGATATTCAGCTGACGAAAATCTCTCATCATTAAAAAAAATTTTCTGGTTCATCAAACACTAGTTTCTGATAGGCGAGCTCATTATCCATTTCCAAAGTCCATATTAATATTGATTATAATAACAATATTAGTGGTTTCGAGTCAATAGTTTCAAGTTACCACTCGCAGGATCATTCTTCCAGATTCTCAAACTTCCATCAGTATTGATAAATAATGACAACTCTTTTATTTATTATAGTTTTATGGGGCCAATGATGATTACTTTGTTGTGAAAAGATCAGAAAGTCTTAATAAAATTTTAAATATTTGGAAAAGGCTTCTTTGGATCAACTATTTATATGCGGTGCATTGAGGATGTTCTTGTTAGAATTCATTTTTTCTACACAATATTTTTCAACGAATTCAAAGAAAGGGGAAAAAAAGGTAGACTGCCTATAGTAATACTGTTTAGGTATACTATATTAATAATAGTTTTGGGTTAGCGCTAACTAAATATTTATTTATTGACTAAACTCAGAAAGTACAAAAGATAATGTTATTAGTGTCGAATAATGATGACCCCGAAATTTGCTGAAAATGATCTTTATCAGCGGATATTTCAGTGAAAAATCGAGAAATTTGAAAATATTAAATTTTTTTTTATAGGAAGAGATTTAGTGGTGATAGTTGCCAATTATAAAAAAATATTATTTCAAGGGTAAGTTTCATGAAATATTAACTTTTGAGAGCAATTGACAGTGGATATCTAGCTTCGAAAGTGCTTTAAAAAAAAAAGAAAAAATGTCACCATTAGAATTTGCCCCAATCTAATGATGATTTTTTTTCTTTTTTTCCCGATTCTAATTCCCGAAGTTTAATCCACTGTCAAAGGATAAATGTTTGTCAAGGTTTAAATTACGTTTGAGTAGCTCGATTTGAAAAATAAAAAAAGTCACATTTACAGATTTTCATAAGCTTCTGGTGATATTAACAATGGACATTAACAACCGAAAATGAAATTACAGAAGATGATTAATCCATCTCTAGAAGGAAAACAAAGTGTGATAATTTTTTTCCACAGTTTCTATATGCGTAGCATATAAAGGTAACATTAATTATGAAATTAGAAATTACGGTAACAATTGTTAATAGATTTTCATTTATTCAGAAGACAGTATGCTTTTGCCGAGATAAATCCAATATTGAAATGATTTATTAGACAAATTCTCATGCTACGCATATAGAAACTGTGGAAAACAATGATCACACTTTGTTTTCCTTCTAATCTAATATATTATGTATTGTCCATTGATGATTAATCATATAATTGGCAACTATCACCACTAAATCTCTTCCTATAAAAAAAAAAATTTGATATTTTCAAATTCCTCGATTTTTCACTGAAATATCCGCTGATAAAGATCATTTTCAGCAAACTTCAGGGTCAGGAATAATTATCGTATATGTGTGTACGCTAAAGCTGTGGCGTAATATCTAATGACTTTGGAGGGAACTTTTCCAAGCGTTTCAGTCCTGTCGGGGAGTTACACTGAGAAAAAATTCTACCACAAATTAGTGTGCTATTCACCAACCCATGGGACCCAACCGCGGTCAACAAAAAATTCGAATGACCCACCCGAAAAATTTGGATGTGGCACCCTAATTTTTGAATGGACCTACACGAAATAATAATGAATTTTTCTCTTCGTGTAGCAGCTGTAGCTCCTGTTTCCGCCGTTGGTGCTTGGGTGGTGGAGCCGTGGCAGATCTCGGTGATACCGACTGCCGAGCCACCACATGCCAACTGATAGTGTTCCCCCCTGTCCCCTAGAGCCAGTACTGAATATCCGGGTATGATTGGATCCCCAGGTGGTTCTCTACAGGTTCTCTGTCTACCCCATGGCTGAAATTCTCTTGGCAACCGCTCGGTGTCTCTCTTCCAATTTTTTTTTCTCATTCAGTTACTGCGCTCTGAAAACGCCTTGTGGCTGTGTATGGGCCCTCAGAAAAAACGTGACTGAACGAATTGTTCGTTAATTGACATAATAGTTATAAAATTCCCCTGATCATACCACAAAAGTAAAAATTATTTTCTATGCATTCAACTGCATACCGAGAGTCAAGTGATTTTCTACTGAATAACGAGAGATACATAACTGTATACGTAATGCAGGTGAAAAAGTGATTAGACATTGCGCGTGGTTTGGCATCAATTTTTTTATTTCCCTTTTTTTTTTAAACCGTTGAAATTATTTGGAGGTGAGGGGGAGTTGCTGTTATTTTGAGGGCCGGTATATCACCATTGAACATTTGATTCTCCAAGATTTGCAGATTGGTTATTGGAAAAATGGCCGCTGAAATGCAAAACAAGAGTCGGATGATGGTCTTTAAGAACAAAGGGAAGGATCAAGATGTGAGTTTATATTTTTATTTGGTTATTGTTCGATTTTTATGGATTTGCTATTGGAATTTGTTCGGATGAGGTTATTGGGCGATGGGGGAGGGAATCCGTTGTAATGCCGTGTGATTCATGTCTCAAGCATTCAACATTCCTGTATCTAGAGGAAATAGATGACTTTGAGTTGCTCAACAGTAAATGAGAAATATTTTTTCGATTTATCTGAACTCCATGAACAATTCTCTGGCAATATGTAAAGGGTAACAATACGATTCGTGACATTTTTGAGTTTTCGGGGAATATCTCGGGATCTGAGTGAGATAAGGAAATTTTTGATAAGACCTGTTTTGGAGAGACGAACGAGAGCTTCAAAAAGGTCATTATGAGAAATTCGATATTTTTTTTAGATTCGGAGTTATTCAGAAAAAATCATCTATTAACCAATCCCCTTGTTACCAGTTACTTTTAATCAGTTTGGGCTGAATAACTCTGAATTTAAGAGAGATAGCACAATTTTTCTCAGAACCTTTTTTGAAGAGTGAAAGGAGAGCTACAAAAAAAGTTATTATCAAAATACCCATATTTCTCTCAGATTTGGAGATATCGCTCGAAAACTAATATATTAGTTGAATTCAGTCAATTTTCGTTGGTCATTCGATAATTAATTAGTTGTTGAGGAATTATTATTGATTTTTTTTCCAATACCTAGGAGATGAGAAGACGGAGAAACGAAGTGACGGTGGAGCTGCGGAAAAATAAACGAGAGGAGACTCTCCAGAAGAGGAGGAATGTACCCATCGCTGATTCCACTGGTAAATTGATTTTGCGAATTGTTTGAGATTCAATTGGTCGATGGCATAATGAGATTTTTCGCTTTCAGATGAAGACGATATCGAGAGGGCTCTGTCCAATATTAATTTGGTGGAACTTGTACAGAAAGCTGCTAGCCGCGATCCAGCGGAACAATTGCAGGCAGTCCAATCTGCTCGGAAATTATTGTCCTCAGACAAAAATCCACCGATTAATCCACTGATTGACAGTGGAATTTTACCAATTTTAGTTCGCTGCCTTGAGCAGCATGACAAGTACGTTAGTTAATAATCATAATTATCCAGAAATTATTATTTCACTGCAATCCTAAATCAATTTTTTATCATAATTTCAATTGAGTTGTGTGAAATTTTTAGTCCACTTCTATCGTAAATTAATTTTATCTCATTCTCAACTCATTATTATTAAGTTCATTAATTTACTATTTCAATTTATGAGTCCAGCGAAATAAAAATCTCAGATTGACTTTCTCTGGAAATTAGGAATCTTCTAGTCAATACCTCATTTAATTTCAATTTAAAATAAATGATTCAGAAATTTTTTAACCACTGGAATCGTAAATTGATTTCATCTAATTTTTAATTAATTATTTTAAGTATTTAAAATTAATTCAGAATTTCAATTTAGAGGCACAGTGAAATAAAAATGTCTGATTCACTTTGTTTGAAAATTCGAAGGCTTCTTCGAGACAATTTGTCTTTTCATCTTAATTTGAATCAAGTGATACAGAAATTTTTCCTTCACTGGAATTCTGGATTTATTCAATATAAATCAGAATTCTTACTGGAATCTTTAAATACTAATTTAAATATGTATTAACGTAGTTGAGAATTCCAAAAAAATAATATCTGAATCACTTCTTTAGAAAATTGAACGTCTCGCTCTAATTCCTCTTCATGAAGTCATCAGAACTTTTTTCTCATCGAGCATTTCCAAAAACGCATGAGCTTCCAAGATTTAAATACCACAAACCCATAAAATCATCAGATCAGAACGAGTCGTACAAAAAACTTTCCTGAAATCCCATGATAAACCTAATCCCTAATAAACCTACCGTTAAGTGTCTAATTAATTATAAATGATTGGTAATAATTGTCAATCTTGGAATTGCAGTCCCTCGTTGCAGTTCGAAGCAGCTTGGGCTCTGACAAACATCGCCAGTGGTACCTCAGCCCAGACTCAGGCAGTAGTAACAGCAGGTGCTGTACCACTGTTCCTCCAGCTGCTGTTGTCGAGTCAACAAAATGTTTGCGAACAGGCCGTATGGGCATTAGGTGAGTCCATCAGTCATTTCACCTAATCATCTCCAAAAATTCCTTGAAATTTCATTAACAAATTTATCTGAATTTTCAATTATATGAATGCGATTAATTAAATTCAAATTGAAAACACGCACTAAATCTCTCATTTATCTTGAAAATTTAAGAAAATTAATAAACAAAAAATTCCTGGAAATTCTTCTTTGAATTTTCCACATTTTCGCGGTTTTTGCCTCCGAATGGAAATATTGTAATCTTTCGATTTGAAATGTGCTATTTCTCATTTTTAGATCACTAATTTTGGGATTGAGTGTTTACATAAACATTTTTTATTGACGCATATCAGTTTTTGCACGCCAACTGTCGGTCTAATGTTAGGTCAATGCTAGCCATTGTTGGCTCAATTGATTTCCAAATTCAACTGAATATCTCAAATAACATTGACTTGAATGCACCAAAAAAATGAGATTGGGACCACTATGCCTTTTGTTAATTTATTATAAAAAATAATAATAATTCATATAAATGGTAATGGTAATTTTCCAACATTGTAATAATGCTGATGATTGCAGGAAACATAATCGGTGATGGACCAGCGCCCAGAGACTACGTAATCAGTCTAGGTGTTGTGAAACCCCTGTTACAATTTATAAAACCAGACATACCAATAACATTTTTGCGAAACGTTACGTGGGTTATTGTGAATCTGTGTAGGAACAAAGATCCACCCCCACCATTGCAGACGATAAAAGAGATACTACCAGCCCTGAATCATCTAATTCGCCACTCAGATGTGAATATTCTGGTGGACACAGTCTGGGCATTGAGTTACTTAACAGACGGTGGTAATGAGCAGATACAAATGGTAATCGACAGTGGAGTTGTGCCACGTCTGATTCCCCTACTGTCCCACAAGGAGGTGAAACTACAGACAGCTGCACTCAGAGCTGTTGCAAATGTTGTAACTGGAACTGATGAGCAGACACAGACTGTTCTCAATTATGGAGCATTATCTCACTTCCAGAATCTTCTTACACACCCCAAGGACAAGATCTGCAAAGAGGCTGTCTGGTTTTTATCAAATATAACAGCTGGCAATCAGCAACAAGTTGGGGCTGTCATCGAGGCTGGACTACTTCCTCTTATCATTCGTCATCTCTCAAAATCTGATTTTCAGACGCAGAAAGAGGCTGCTTGGGCCATCAGCAATTTTACGATAAGTGGAAACAGGGATCAAGTTGCTAGACTCATTCACGAGGGGGTTATTGAGCCTTTCTGCGATTTATTGTCCTGCAAGGATACTCAGATAATTCAGGTGGTACTTGATGGCATTCATAATATGCTCAAGCTTGCTGGACCTGAAGTCGAGCAGCTTGCTAATATGATTGAAGAGTGCCGTGGATTGGACAAGATTGAGCACCTCCAGACACATGAGAACGTAGAAATTTATAAATTAGCATATGATATTATCGAGCAATACTTCTCTGAAGAGGTAAATATTTATTCTCTTATTACTCTCAATCTAGATTTCGAAAAATTTTATTTATCACTCAATATTTACTCTGTTTAACAAATTTAAAAATTAATTTAATTTCCCAATTAATTGAACTGTTGAAATAATTCTTGAGGTAAAATTAATATTTTATATCAATTTCATACATAAATTCGATTATTTTCAATTATTCTTTTGCCAATTGAATATGCCATAATTATTGACATATTCTGTATATTTAGGATGAAAATATGTTTTTTTTTTATTGGAAAACTGATTATTTGTCGGTGATTGATAGAGTAAGGAAATGATAAATTGAATGGTACTAACGAAAAATTTGTTTTTAATAGACCGAAGACACAAACCTCGCACCCCAGGTTACCGACGTGAATTTCGAATTCGACTCAACAACAACAATTCCAAGCGATGGCTTCAAATTCTGAGACAGTGTTACACCAGTAACAGTGACGTCATTGACTCTGAACGAGTACGGAGCCATATTGGTTTACTTTACCTGCAATTATAATATCATCAGTCTGCTCCGATGATAATTAACGAGGCGCTGTTCAATACATTATATTTTTATTTTTTTCCTCCAATAAGATAATCGAAACTTCTCGCCCATTATGTTGAACCAAGAGTCGCTGGTGCACGTGTAAATTCTCTGGAAAAATAACTGACAATTTCTCCTTATCTTTGGAAATTTATTGGAGCTTGAGTTGTTATTTTTCTGTCGAAGTTGTCTGCAGAGAATTTGTCGTATCAATTATGTGATCACAAATTTATGTTCCATTTTTTAAATGTAATCTGTCATTTTCATTAATGCACTGCTTTTGTATTTCCATTCTCGAGACTTGGTTCAATAATAATAACTTTAAGAGAACAAAAACGAGGTTTAACAACCGTTCGTGTATATTTTAGGCATGTTAAATTTATAGTTAATATTGATTATCAGAATCAAGTGGAATCGACTACTCTTTCATCAGTAGATTATAAATATAAACGGACGTTCTGTACCGAACAGCAACAATAAAACTGTAGCATAATCAACTCGATAATCATCTCATTTGCGATTTTTTTTATTTAGCTGCCGCCATGATTAAATTTTCAGGATAATTAATAAATCGGTGTTGATTTTCATTGGTCTTGTGGTCATTCGATTATTTTCTATTATTCTTTTACCAATCCCCGATTTTTAAAGTATTTTCATTTTTTAGATAAAAAACCTAGAGAAATTGAGTGCCAAATTCCTGGGCAAAAGTTGCAAAATCATTGATTTTTTTCTATTAGGTATGGCTGGACGAAGTTCAATGAAATAAAATGGATTAATCATGATTTTTTTTGAGAATTTGCGCCAAGAAAGAATGAAAAAGAATGAAATTTTAAATGACAATTTTAATGTGATAAAAAAAGGGCTAGATTTATTAGTAATTTTCCAGAAAAAATATTCAGGTATTCACTGAAATCGAAAAATTCGAAATTTTTGAAAAAATATCAGGGGAACATGAACGTCGAGGAGGTATTCACTGAAATTGAAAAATTCGAAATTTTTGAAAAAATATCAGGGGAACATGAACGTCGAGGAGGTATTCACTGAAATTGAAAAATTCGAAATTTTTGAAAAAGTATCAGGGGAACATGGACATCGGGGAGGTATTTACTGAAATTGAAAAATTCGGAATTTTCAAAAAAGTATCAGGGGAGCATGAAAATCGAGGAGGTATTCACTGAAATTTGAAAATTCGAAATTTTTGAAAAAGTATCAGGGGAGCATGACAATTGAGAAAGTATTCACTGAAATTGAAAAACTCAAGATTTTCAAAAACGTACCAGGGGAGCATGAAAATCGAGGGGGTATTCACTGGAATTGAAAAATTCGAAATTTTTGGAAATGTATCAGGGGAACATGAACATCGGGGAGATATTCACTGAAAGTTGAAAATTCGAAATTTTTGGAAAAGTGTTAGGGGAGCATGAAAATTGAGGAGGTATTCATTGAAATTTGAAATTTAGAAATTTTTCGAAAAGTATCAGGGAAACATGAAAATCGAAGAGTTATTCACTGACATTGAAAAATTAAAAATTTTCAAAAAAGTATCAGGGGAGCATGACAATCGAGGAGGGATTCACTGAAATCCGAAAAGTCGAAATTTTTGAAAAAGTATGAGGGGAACATGAAAATCGAAGAGGTATTCACTAAAAGCTGAAAATTCAAAATTTTTATAAAAGTACCAGGAGAGCATGAAAATCGAGGAGGTATTCACTGAAATTGAAAAATTAAAAATTTTCAAAAAAGTATCACGGGAGTATGAAAATGGAAGCGATATTCACTGAAAATTGAAAATTCGAAATTTTTCGAAAACTATCAGGGGAGCTGAAAATCGAGGGGTTATTCACTGACATTGAAAAATTTTTAATTTTCAGAAAATAAAAATTCACCCAGTCGATTGGTCCCTCTGACACCGGCACTGCTACTGAGGCAGTTACCGAGTCGGCTGACCGGCAGACACCCCATTGCGTCTGGCGCCATCCCTCATTTGGGGTGCAGTACTACGATGCCGCTGGGGTCACTCCAACCCCCAGAACTGAGCCTCTACTTCAGTCAATCCTCTTTGTATCCACTTATGGCAAAGTACCATTACCATAGGAGTCAAATCTTCTATCCAATTATTTGTAGGATAAAACGAATATTTTGATAACCCCCAATTATTAATCGCTGCGTAACGTAGTAATGAAGCGAATAACAATTCGATTATTGAGAAATAATGGTTTCACCCTAAAAAATAATTGGATGGAGAATTTTACTCCTATGGTAATGTTACATGACCACTTACAGCAATTGAGAGAATCGCCATCAACTAAACTTTGATTGATCGAAAAGAATACATGAAGACGTTGAAAGAGGTGATCATTAAAAATTCATATGCAAACCTGATTATCCACTGAAAAATATACCAAATAAACGTCAAAAATTATACACAAATAAAAATTCATTAGAAAGTTGGTGTACTTTAGGAAAATGTGCTCTTGAACTTGAAAAGAGTTGGACAATCTAGACCTAACCTCAATAATCGTAATATCGGTAATCATAGGTAAATAAATAGAAAATTCAAACATATATACTTGAGAAGATAATTAATTCAGTAGGAGAAAGTGAGGCAAAATGAGGCAGATGAAAAATTACTGTGATACACAATTTCAATAACTGTTTTCTTAATGTAAACAATAGTTTATTACGCTCCAGGGGGTTAGTTTGGGTTTTAACCCAAGTGAGATTTTTGATCAGGCGCGTAAAAAAAAATTGAAGCCCGAGTGGCGTACTTTATTTTACATTTGAATTTAGTTCTCCATGTGTAATCGGCAGATACTGCATGCTCAAGTGTAAAACAATGGAAAATACTCGGGATTCCTTGATTAAAGTTGTGAAGAACAATACGTGTAACGCTGGTGTTGTTGTTTCTGAACTTTAGTCTCTGTGTTTACTCCCAGAAATGCAATTATAGACTAATTAAATTACAGCTAATCAAGTAAAAAATGATGAATATTCTTGAAAATTAATTGTAAAAAGAAATAAACGATAAACTTAGGAGAACTTGTAGATAATGAATTTCTGGGCACTGTTTCATTTTTCTCCACTTTCCCCAAATTTAATTGCATCAATTAACAAAACATTATTTAATTTATATGCAGTGTGAAAAATGGCACAGAGGTATAAGAGAAACATTCGGAAAGACATTGAGAAGGTCATAGCAACTGAATCGCGACGTCGAGGACGTAGTTTACCTGAAGTTGAAGAAAATGCTGTGATGGATACGTTGCTGGAGTATTTGCTATCAGCAGCCAAAAGTAAAAGTGCTATTAAGCACACAGATATCAAGTATTGTGTGATCCCAGATCATGCCAAGTATTACCCGAATCTGATGGCAAAAGCTAAAGCTGTTCTACTTCAGGTTTTTGGGTATAAGTTAATAGGTACGGGTGGTCAGAAATTAATTCTTGTTAATTCACTTCGTCGGGAAGAGATTAGTCCTGAAGGCGAGGATGTTCCTACCCAGATTCTTCTTCTCCTGGTGTTGTCACATATATTCATCTCCGGAGAGCCCTGCAAAGAAGGTTCTTTTTCCATTAATTTCTCGATAAGATGCCTTTGGAGTAGATGTACGCATGATCTTATGAATATTTTGCAGAGTGATTGTTGAAAAATTCATTACAAAACATTTTTTATTGGGACATCACTTAAAGATATTTGTACATCCAACATCACTAGATTACCTCGCTATAAAATTGAATGTTGATTTTTTTCCCCGCAGTAAGTGTGATTAACTATCTGGCAAGGTTGAACATTTGGAGAGACCATGGCGGCCTTCATCCTTACTTTGGAAATATTGAGGAAATGCTACGGAAGGTAAAATAAAAATTCAAACCATTTTCTAATGCTTTTTTAACAAATTATTAATTATAAATTATGGTTGTTCTCATTTACAGACGTTCGTTAATCAGTTCTACTTAGTACGATCTAGAACAGCAGAAATCGGCAAAGAAACTTTCGAATATCTGTGGGGTCCCAGAGCAAAAGCCGAGTTTGACGCAAAAACTGTAGTGGAATACGTCAGCGAGGTACGATTGATTTATCAATAATCCAATCAATTAAATATAATTAATTACATTTTCCCCTCTTTTTTTCCAATTTTTATAATTTAAAAATTCTAAGAACTCGAATTTCAGGAAAACTCGAGATTTTTTATACAAATACTTAATTTTCATTTTTTCATATATTTCATTAGGAATATGCGTAGTTGTTTCCACATTCAAATTCATTTGCTCTATTATTTATTCACTGTTCAATTATCGTGGTAACGATTGACATTAAAAAATTGCTAATCCCTTTTTATGAGAATATTTTTGACAGAGAGTACGTCGAATACAGATCGAGAATCGAATTCAATCTGCAAATCTTTCATCATAAAATAATAATTATTTTCACACTGGCACCTGAAGAATTGTTTTTGGAATGGAAATTTTGGAATGTTCAAATCTCATTTAGCAGAACATGTCGCTCTCAGTCATGCCTCAAAAAGATGATCTAATTCCTCAGCTCTCATAACAAAAGGTGATATTAGGTTCGAGAGAGAAATCGTTCACACGAGCCGAGTCTTTTTCAAATTGAAAATCAATTAAGTTGTAACTACAGTGTAATTATTATCTTCTAGTTGAATTCAACTTCATATCTTTGATTAGATTAGAATTAAGAGTTCTCGAGGACAGACGTATGGGAGTCGAAAATCACGCATGAGGATAGTCTTAAAATAGTATATTTCTATACAAGTGCGATAAAGTAGTCTTTAGCTCGTGGGAGTTTATACCGCGAGCCGAAGGCGAGTGATATAACCCCACGAGCTAAAGAACACTTTAACATTGAACACTGCACATGTATCGAACAATATTTTTCATTACAATGTGTGGAATAAGTGATTTATAGGAACTTTGAGAAACGCTAACTGTGCCCATAAAGCCACTTTTCCGCACAGCGTGATGAAAATACAATTTTTTGAAATGACAGTGTAGTGAATGCAAGATATTTTCAATTTATTATCAACAGATAATTTATTTGGCCTCAACAAGATATAAGAGACTGTCCATTATAGTCTTGGTGCAGTTCGCCACTCTTTATTAACTTTCCCCCTGATTTAACAATATTTTATTTGATTTGATATTATATTTTATTTAATTTACAATTATTCTATAGGTGACGAAGAATCTACCAGCCACCGGTTGGACTTTTCAAAATCAAAGAGCCTGCTCCCCAGAAACACCAGCCGCATAGATTCCTTTAGACTGGATAAAAACGTGTAATCTAAAGTTTCAAGGCCTCACTATAATTCTTCAGTCAAATTGAAACCGTACAACAGTTTCGACAGGGATTACAGTGTTGAAAACGTGTGGCTATTGATGACTGTTCTCTCTCCCAACGCGTGACATGGATGTCTTACTAATTTCTAGCATTTTCTTTCGTCAAAGTAACAATAAATCTTTGCAGGAATTAAAACCGAAAGAATTCTCAGAGTTATAGCTCAACTTTTCCATATATTTTCATTATTTCATGAATTTTTTAATGTATCAGAATAACTTCTCTATAAATTTATATATTTAATTATATATATAACTAGAATAGCATAAAAAAATGAATAAACAAATTCAGTCTTGATGGATTCTCCAGAAAGCCATTGAACTGTTCATTCGATATCTCAGCTCATAAAATTCTCAAACAAAATAGTTGATTAAGCTGAAATAACGTGAAAATAACAAATAAATTAAATTAAATAACTAAAAGTCGTACGGTCTTCATGTACGCATGACATTGCATGCGTCCCGATCTCATGCGCAGCCACTCAACATTACCTGTAGATATACGTACGCGTACTTGAGTACACAGAAAAATCTGTGTCACGCTGGGGTAGAAAATGAGAGAGGTGGTTTGTAGGGTTGTTGCTAGTCGTATATTCTTAGTGACTTAGTGATCTGTGAGTATTAGACGGTTGCGCCAACTTTAGCGCGCCCATCTCAAAGACAAAACATTATATCTAATTATTCATATAATTTTTTTATATTTTTATCATTAAAAAAAGGCTCAACCTATTCGCCAGTTTTATGTGGAATTTTTGGCCGTAAATGTAAAGCTGCGGGCGTTCCGAAATAATCGTTGTGTTTTTAAATGGAAGGTAAAGATTGTTAAATTAATATTTGATTGGAATGTGATCGTAAAATGTTTGGAACGCCTAGAAGATGTCTCAAATATGAAAAAATGAGTGATCTTCGTTAAAAGCGTTAGTTAATTTACTTGAAGAAATCAATTTTCCTCTGGAAAGATGTTGGCATTTCTTCTTTCAAACCACCTCAAGAACTTTATTGAAAAATACTGTTAGTGGTTTTCACGGATTACTGTAAGAAGTTCCTATAATTTTTTGTATCGATATTTCCGGAACCCGGAGATTTATCTAGAGGCCGTGTGACTCTTGACCAATATCTCCGAATTATATTTATTTCAAGATATCAAAGAAGCAATCCACACCCGACCATATCCCAACTAAATTTACTATTGAGAAAGACGTGAGAAATTAATTTTGTCTCTTAAATTTTTTAAGGCTCGGGTGGCTTATCTAGAAAAGATAATTTACTCCGAAATTCGGATTCCTAATTACTTTGGCAATTAATCGTTTTTTTCAATAATTGTTAGCTAGCGTTCTAGCGGTTGTCAACAATTAGGCCGCTAGCTAACAATTATCGGAAAAAACGATTAATTGACGGAGTAATTAGAAGTCCCAATTTTGGAGTAAATTATCTTTTCCAGACAGTCCATCCGGGCCTTAAAGATTTTTCTTCAAAGCGTTGTACGATCAGATAGTATATTAAGATAGTATAGCTCTAAATTGTATATCTATTCTTTCAATGATATTTTCATTACGTTAATTTGTCAAATATTATAGGGACCATTTTACCAATTCGAACCATCTAAAGTTGGTATTACCAACTTGGTAAACAACTTGCAGGGAGCAACTATAATTTAAAAAAAATGTTCAATTTGTATACAACTCTAAATAAGAAAGACGATGAGAACGGAATACGTCGCCGTGAATCAGACGTTACGGGACACGACAGATTCTACCAAGAACGACCTCGATCACGTCGCAAGAGACGGCCCTCCAACAGACGCACGAAAAGTGCCATTGAACTCGATACAAATGCAATGCTAACAGCGCAAGCGAATCATGCCCGACGTAATCGAAGTGCCAGCATTGAAGGAGGTGAGAGTAGTAGCAGCAGCATAGAGGACAGATTTCAATTGACGATGAAGATTGATAACCTTGCTAGGGTACTCTTCAACCGGGTTACAGCTGCCAAAGCATATCGAGACAACCAGACTAGGTAATTATTCTATCTCTAATGATTGATTTTCATTGTTTATTATCGATCTATATGAGAATAATTACGGTACTTACAGCATACCAACATGAATTATCACGCGACGCTGATATCCCTGTCGTATTTTCCTTTAACTCTTAACCCTTTGGGTTTCATTTTTTTATGATGAATCCTATTCTAAAAAAATACACATCGAGACTATCGATATCTCGAAAGTCTGACATGCTTATTCCTCATTGGTTGAGTCGTCTGAGGCGGCTAATTTGAATTTGGAACTCATTTAAATTAAGAAATTTTTAATTACGAGACCTACTGCGCACTCCGTGCGCCGAATTTGGATTTGGCGGTTCGAGTTGACCAATGAGGAATTAGTCTTACGCGTTTCGAGATATTTCGATTCGGGTGAACTTCATTTTCATGTTTCTACTTTCATAATAAGGATTCGGGTGAACTGCATTTTTATTTTTCATTTTCTACTTTCATAATAAGGACAGCGCGGATGAGCGCGTTCGTTTTTCCTATTCTGAAAAGAACAAACATCGAGACTATCGATATCTCGAAAGTCTGTCACGGTTATTCCTCATTGGTTCAGTCGTCTGAGGCGGCTAATTTGAATTTTGAACTCAGTTAAATTAAGACATTTTGAATTACGATTTCTATAATAACTACGCGCTGTAGCGCGCGTTCTTTCTCGTAATAACAAATGGAACTCAATAATGCTCTTTATGGGAAGCACACAGTATTTTCATGACTTTTTGTGTGAAAGTTTGACTGTAAAGACTTGTTATTTTGAGCAATTGAATTCTGCCGCTGCCTTTTCTGAAGAGTTTCACTCACTTTAGAATGTTTTATTTAATAATATTTAATTACTTAGACAATTTTTGTTTTTTCTTCTAATTTTCGTTTAATACGAGATTTTTTCAGTTTCTGAAATCATTACACTGTTTCTCAGTGAATCTTGTGGTAATCCGAAAACTTATTCTTCGTCAATATTTCCTGTGAGGATTGGAATCTGACAAATAAGAAATGGAAGATATGGAGATCGAAATAAATAAACACTTGGAGAATTTTAAGACTGAGAATGGTTATTCAAAATTATAAGACTCTAGACAGTTAAGAGTTACTTCACTGAACGAAGACTTACAACGAACTAACTAAACATTACTAGTGAGGCCCACGTCAAACTCCTCTCCAGAGGGCAATACAATTTCTCCTTCCACCCTCAACCCTCGGATTTTTCTCTTTCTTGACCCTCTCTAGTCGCCAGATGTATTTTGGAAAAAACCCGTACTGAGAAAGTCCCTCCGGGACTTCCCCCTTTTTTTTCATAACATAAAGGAAAGATCCCACAGCAACAAAGAAATAAATATTTCATAAATCTGGAAATATAAAAACTCTAGAAGAGTGAATTTTCAACTCAGGGAAAACCCCGAAATCTAACAGTTCATAACCGTCTTTTATCCTTTTTTTTCCTCGATTGAAATTTTAGAATCCTAAGTAAATCTCTTTGTCAAGAGACAAGGTAAGCTACTAAACCCGGGCCTGTCTCTCTCTTTGTTTATTCACCTGAAAGTTCCAGCGCTATGATAGCCTTATGAAACTTGTGAATCAAAGGCACTAGTGAAGTTGAGACAGTTTCGCCCGAATTTAAGAGCTCAGTTCGTGTAATTCCCCGTTCAGACGACTCGTTACGAACCTCGAAGTTTCTCAAACACGATTAAGTACTCCAGGGCGAAATGAAAAACCCGATATGAATTTTACGTTTGACACACATCGCAACATTGAACGTCAGTCTCTGAATGGAGGGACGCTTTTTATGATTCTCTTTCCAGTTAGAAGGTAAAGGAAAGAGTCTCATTCAAGTGATAAGTAATTGGAAAATGAGATATTGGAGAGGATTTATTCAACGTGTTGAATAAGTGTTACTTGCACCGCTCATCCTTTCATACCATTCACAGGTATTTTCCAAGGAAAATACACTTTTCATTCTTAATTAACAGTTTGGAGTGATTTTTAAGAGATTGCGGGGATGACATTTCGTCCTTCACTTGAACTCTGAAACGTGTCAGTTCATAAAGTTTCGAGGTTTTTATGTCCATTTATGTACAGATATTGTTCTGTTATTTCACAGCTCAAAGTTGAAGCTGTTGGAATAAACTGAGTAGTTGTTGAAAATGATCTGGATGGTACCATCTTGGCGGTATTTATTTTTCATGTTTATAAATTCATCAAGGTCTCATAAGAGCGAAACGTTCCTAATTTAGTAGTAACAATTTGAATGGTCAATAAATCTGTAGGAATCATTTCTCAATTTTAGGATGTAAATAATAGTGAACATTTTCTCATACACGGAGAGAAATATTTAGTAAAAAATTACGGAACTATTAGTTCACTTACCGATTACGGAGTCGATTAGGAAAGTTTGAGTGACGGTATCGTAATTTTTCACCGAAAATTCAGATAAAAATTACGGAACACCTCAGAAAAATTTCGTGACTTTAGATAAAAATTACGTGACAGTTCCATAAAATTTCCAACAACCACATTTCGCTCCAGAATTACAGAAAATACACGTGATTTTTATTGAATATTTCTTTCTGTGTAGGTGAGCGGTGCAATACCTCCTTGCTTATCCACTATTACCTTTTTTTTTCACTTGTTATTAGATGAAGCCTTTTTATTTTCTCACAGTCGTAGAACAACTTGGCAGAATAGGAATGACTGTAGAGTAACTCATAATCCTTTTATAGGAAGAGTAATCCGCTTTTGTTGTGGTTTTAGACGTGAGAGTGAGGATAACTCAATTCCACTGCATCTAAGGTATTCTTATTTTCTTTCTTTACTTTTAATCTCAATAATGGAAAGCTGAACCAAACCTAAGGATGTTTAACCTGACAATATTCAATACAGTCTACATTTTTTTAACTAATAGCTGAGGGTATGAACCATACACAAGTCACATTTTCGGCCCCCGATCCATTCATTCCAGCGAGATAATAATTAGTGAAAACACCTGTCTGTAATTGTCATCATAAACAATCCATTTATTTATTTCACAATATGGGGAATATTTTATCGACGAGATAAATTAGAACCCGATACAATACGCGGGAAATTAGTGACTGATTTTTAAAGAGATCTGAAAGAAAGGGGCCGCCATTATGATTGTAAAATATTGATAAAATTGCTCTTACAGCTGAGCAATGTCCGAAAGGTAGATGACGATGAAACAGTGATGGCGGGCCGCCTTGCTAAATGCGGTGTTGCACGATCAAGATTTAAGCGTTACTACAGTAGTCAGTCATACGTCAATGTTTATAGACATTTTCCATATTTCTTAATCATTTGGACCGAAAAGTATGCCATGGGGCTTGTAAATTAATAGAAAAAATTATTTATATCGTAAATGACTTATTTGAATGTTTTTATTTTATTTTCCAACACGGCTGCTCACGTGAGCTGTTGAACATCCTTAAGGTGTTCTACATCCTTCCTGACCAACTCACGTTTCTTTTACTTTTCTGGAAAACTAACAATGGAGTTGACGTGGAAAAATATAAGGTTTCTGCGTGTTGTCATTGTTTGATGATTCATAAAAAATTTCAAGGTAGTGCCAACATTTTCCGGGATTTTTCCTAAATTTTTGAAAAGAATTACAAAATGATAGAAAAAACGCGTGAAAATACTACGGAATCACTACGAAATTTCGTGAGCTATTAAATAATGGCAAAACACAAAAACGTTATATTTTTTCACGTCAATCTCATCAATTATTTGCCAGAAAAAATTAAAACCGTGAATCTTGGCTAAAAGGTTGTTGAACATGCTTAAGCCACACTTTCTAAGGTAGAAGGTGGGCAACATCAGCTCTCGAAGCTAGTCCAGCTCTCGATCTTCATTAGGCTAAATTGTCTCAAACCATAAAATTAATCGCTACACCCCCTTTGGGCCCTTGACTCGCAGATCCGTAATTCGGCAGAAGCTTGATAGTGAGAAAAATAAAATAGAAATTTTTTTGATTTCTTTGATGGAGACTTTTTTCGAATTATTCTTAAAAGAAAGAAATAATATGCTAGTATAAATCGTGAATGTGTTTCACAACAGCGCGGGGTGAATTTCCTATTCTCATATTCCATTGGTTCTACTTTCTTTATATTTCCCTGGTTCCCGATGTCTTGTGGAATGCCTGGAGGTAGTTGCAGAGTCAGGACTAGCCTACCCCTCAGCACCACGAGAAGCTAGTGCCCCATAGGAACGTAGACTGGGCGCTGAGTCTTCCAGTTATTCATATCTTTGGTTATTGCCTCTGGTAGCACCTCCTGAGCTCGCTCACATAGCAGTATGTGTTCTAACGTTTCTGGATTGCCACAGAACTAACAGCTGACCTCAGTGTATCCCTTCCATTGGCTTTTACCAACGTTTCCGCACCTGATCCGAACCCATTGTTCTTTCGTGTTTCCACTCAGCTACTTATCATTCCAGTAATCTGGCCCTTCAATCTTAACTGACAGGTGTTTATATTGGGGCCAGTATTTTGAATTATTAATTCGGTGCCAGTCAACATGGATTTCCTGTTCAGTCTTTGTGCTTAAGTTGTACTTTTACTGTACTGTGATGTCCCCATTATCTCCATGGTTCCATATGCTCTCCAGTAAGGTTCCACCTCCCACTTCTTTAATGTTTCATTAATTTGCCTAGCTTGGAGGGGTAGCAGTTAAGAATTCTCCTGATCTCCTCTCTCAGAACTTTTGCTAGCCATCTTCCGTCTTTCATCCTCAAGGTGTCCAAAAGGTATCTGGATGCTCTCATTCTTCCCTCAATTTCGATAACTCTTCTCCCTGGCTCCATCCTTCAGATGTAGGCTGGCTTGTTTGGAGACAGACCCATGGACATTTTGATGTATCTACCCTGTATTCTTACCATGAGATCAGTTTCCCCCCATCGCCATTTTTATATTTTCCCTTCAACCCTTCAGAACTTGGTTCATCCTGCTTATCCAAAACCTAAGGGTTTTTTTTTAGACATCGCATGTTCTCTACTTAAATTGTTTAGGGTGAATTCATCAGAAATAATCTAATTAATTATGAGTCGGAATAGCCTATTGATTCAAAACTTGGTGTTCGCGAACCAAGTACCCGTGAACACACTGCGCTGTTTGTCATATTATCTAGGGACACGCTTACAATTATTGTTAATTATATAGTAGGATTTCCTGCATCTCTATATAATTTTATTTGGGTAATATTTCATTGGAGCTCCACAATTATCGCAAAGACTGGGTGCCCTCAAAATTTCGTTCAAAGTTTTTGAGAAATTTTATAACTTTGTCCTGGAAGAAGCCAATAACAATTGATTGGTATTGCAAGAACATTTTTTTTTGTAAATCGCTCTTTTTTTTACTATTAGTGATTATCACTTGACTTTAACACTGATATTATTTGGATTTAGTTAAAACTCAATAAATTTATTTGAGGGTGATATTGTACCCCTCGATAATTTTTCTCGTAGCATATGCTAATGCCAAATATATTTTCTCGTGGTTAGTAAATATATTTGAGAAAATAAATTATTTTCCTGATGGGTACATCAATCTGATTACATTTAAGATATTGCCAGCGCAAATTCTGTTGACTTATAACTTTTTTCTTTGACAATTAGAAATGGTAGACCTAATTATGAGTCATTGGACCAAGGCCCCTCCTTTCGCGATGACCGTGGTGAATATTTAGAGATGGAAAAGAAATCCAGAGACTATGCACTATCTGTCTGCGAAGCTTACATCCAGGGAAGTTCGCGGTATAATCTCATCAAACAACTCTGCAATGTTGGTAAGACATTTTTTACAATCTTGCAGTGATAGTCAATAGATTATATTAAGGACCGGTTGGATTATGTGGAAAAGATAATTTACTCCAAAATTGGGATTCCTAATTACTCTGGCAATTAATCGTTTTTTTCAATAATTGGTGGAGTAATTAGGAATCCCAATTTTGGGGTAAATTATCTTTCCGAGATACTCCATCCGGCCCTTAAGACCCGGATGGACTGTCCGGTAAAGATGATTTACTCCAAAATTGGGACTTCTAATTACTCTGTCAATTAATCGTTTTTTCCGATAATTGTTAGCTAGCGCTCTAGTTGTTGACAACCGCTACGATGCTAGCTAACAATTATTGTAAAAAACAATTAATTGGCAAGGTAATTAGGAATCCGAATTTCGGAGTGAATTATCTTTTCTAGACAATCCACCCGAGCCTTAAATGATTGTATTAGCAACTAATATGCCTGAGAATAAATTATGAGCAATGTTGAAGGATAAGTATCTGCAAAATATTTCAACAACGAAAAATTTCAAGAGAATCAATTAATAAATCTTCTCTGCAGGAATTTTCAAGAATCTTCGAAATAATTTGTTTCTAATTGCTCCCTAATTTCAGGGCTATGAACATTTCTCGATGACTTCATTATTCCAAAATTATTAGCTTCTGCAAAAAAAAAAATAAAATATCTCGTAGATATTTTTCTGAAATTTTCGAACTTACGAAAAAGTTTCGCCTGCTTTTTTAATTTTTCAGTTATCTTTAAAGCCAATCGATTGATAAAACGTTTGACATACGAAATTTTCAAAATTTTTTGTGATTCTAATAAATCATCATAATTTAATTAATAGTGATAAATTGTGAAACAAATCCTCACTGTCCCATTTGAATAATTAATTCCGTAATCAATTTGATACAATCAATTTGGATTGGATATATAATTCTAGGTTCTCGAGTGGACAAACACTGGTTTGCAGTTCGTGACACAACCTTGAAGACCGACAGGCTATTGACATTAGTGCCATTGAATCGAACATGTCCACTTACTGTCTGCCCGTCCACTAGAGATGTACTTAACAAGTTATTTCTGGCTCTGCAACATCCCTACGTGTGTCCAGTACTTGACCTAGAGTTCATTGAGATCGAGGGACAAAATTATGTGATTCTAGTTCAACCCATCAATCAAGGGAGCATGAAGGATCTTATTTATGGGGTCAGTCATCATTTATTAATGAGTCGTGTACTTATTCATATGTTTTTCTCGATGATTACTTTGTGACGACCTCGGTCGTCAAGCTAGCCACCAACTTTTGTTCTTTTTTTTCTTCGTTTTCGTTAAGGACCGGTTGGATTATCTGGAAAAGATAATTTACTCCAAAATTGGGATTCCTAATTACTCTGGCAATTAATCGTTTTTTTTTTCAATAATT